TTTTTATCATAAAAACTTCTCAATTCTCCCCCTGCCTCAACTGACTTTAACACATAGGACTCTACACACCACTAGAACAGCTGCATTCCAGGTACTTGTTGGAAAGTATTGCCACAGCTCAGTGCCACTGAGCAGTGATCAAATCATCATTGAGAGGAATGCCATGGAAGGAAGATGGCCTGAAGGATGTGCTTTTACTTCATTATACTTTAATACGATATATGCCTCTACTGAAGCACTTGATAAAATGACTTTCTCAAACATAGTTTTGAAAATTGTTTAGCTTATTACACACTGAATTCTATGAGGACCAATGGGAGAAACTTCCTTTAGGTCTCAGAAACTTCTCAGGAGCCACAAGATATTTTAATCATTGGAAGTCATCAATTTCATTAAAAAAATTAGAATCATGCAATACTAGCCTCACATTTGCAGTTCCCTCCTTCAGATGGGGCAAATGGTCTTCTGCTCCACAATCCCAAACAGTCCCCATTATACCCCTCATCTTAGGCTGGGTTCTCTAGAGAAGTAAAACCAGTGAAACTTAGAGAGAGAGAAAGAGAAATTTATCTCAAGGCTCATGCAGTTGTAGAGGGTAGCAAGTCCCAAGTCCCTGGGTCAAACATCAAACTGGAGGATTCTCCTGACTTATGCAGCTTCAAGGGCTGATGACCTCAAGATCAGCAGGCAGGCAGTATAGCAAGGTGTTAGCTATAGAGGATAATGAATCCAAGATGTTCTGATAAAATGGCAGATCATAAAAATCATGAAAAAGACAAAGCTTATTGGTCTAATACAGATTGGTGAAACACCTGAGACTATGGCCCTGAGTCACCCTTTGGGCCTGGAATTGATCTCACTCCCATGGCTTAACTCTCAGCCGATAGACAGGCCTACAAGCTAAACACTTGCACCAGAGAGATGCACTCCTTAGAACAATCAACCATGAGAGATCAGAAGGGCAGCATTTGCACCGGGAGAAATGTAGGGAGGCAGGAATGCATAGGCAGGAAAGACACAGGGAAAGGGTAAGCACAGTGGGGAAGTAGGAAGTGAAATGTTACACTGCACAGAATATAACTAGTATCACAAAATAAAATGTGTATATGAATTGTTGAATGTAGAATGAATCTGCTTTGTAAAATCTCACCCAAATCATAATAAAAAGTTTTTTAAAAAAAGGCAGATTGTTGGCTCACAGGCTGCAAAGGCAACAATCCCAAGATCGGCAGGCAATATAGCAGTCCACCGTTTCAAGTCCAGGAACCAGAGATGATGACGAGGTAGATGCAGGATCAAGATCCAGTAGAAAGCCAGAGAGTTCTCCTAGGACATGCATGTGTAGATTGGAAGCAGGCCACACCCCTGAGAAAACTCCCTTTCAATTGACTGGCTACTCATAGCACACCTCATCATGGAGGTAATGACATTATTTCAGACCTCATCCTGGGGAATGACTATATCATCACTGCTAAGCCATTTAGAATCACTGTCCAGCCAAGCTAACACACAATCTTAAACTATCACAAGCCCCAGTCATAGAGGATGGGTTTAAGTCTTCTGTTCATCAAGGCACTTACCTCCACTAATTTGTTCCTGCTTGGCTTCTGCTGACAGTGGAATTTGTGACCACTTTCTTTTCTTTTTTCTTTTTTTTTATAAGATATGGTCAACTATAAATAAATCTATCAATATGTATATGTAGGAGCTCTGGTGGTGTAGTGCCTAAGGCATTTGACTGCTAACCAGAAAGTTGGCAGTTCAAACCCACCAGCCACTCCTTGGAAGGACCTCAAAACCTCCTCCTTGGAAGTACTTCAAAACCTCACTGCAGTTGAGTCTGATCAGACTCATGCCGACCCCTCCTTGGGTTTCTGAGGCAGTGTCACTATGGAAGTAGATTGCCCAATCTTTCTTCTGAGGAGTGGCTAGTGAGTTTGAACTGCCAGCCTTCTGG